AAGTACACACAAGTATAAAATGTAGAAATAACATTGAGAAATATCTGTTTTCGGTTTGCTATTTTTTGTTTTTTTTTTTTTTTTTTATTTGGCGAATAACATCCATACACATGACACGTTCGCATTATTGTATTATACTAGTTGTGTTTTCCTTCATATATATATATAGATATATGTGTGTGTTACTATCGTTATTGTTTGTACAATCCACAACTTTACTCTTAAATCAGCTAAAATTATTTTCCACAAATAACTTTCCGTAAACCCGCGCATCGTCTTAACACAAAACAGGACACACTTATGTCACTCAAAACTACTTCTCTCGACCGGATACCATAAATAAACTAGGAAATCCTCACCCGATTATCTGTGCTTGAACGATATGCTACAAAATAAGTTCATAGGCATAGACCGTTACTTATTTAAGCAGCGCAATGCAAAAATATTGCATTCCCTGTATGCCGAGTGGAACGGTTTTTTAACGTTATTTGAAATTTACCAAATGAACAAACGCGGAATAAAAAAAAAATAATCTATATTCACTCCAAATACACCGTTTCGGGTAGAACGTTTTCTCTAACGGGTTTCCGGAAAGAATGCAACCGCGTGTCGTTTCAATCTAACGAGAATAAAAATCGCCAAACCTCTTCACCTGTCGTCGTCAACAACGTCTTGCGATGTTCCGCGCCAGACGTTATTCGTGTACACACAAATATATGTTGAGCGTAATAAAATTTGGATCGCGGACCGCGTCTGAGTGCACGTCTGAGCGTTACGTATAATATTTACATCACTCAAGGGCTGGGCGTCGACCGCCCCGATAAATAAAATACATAAATACATAAATGCATAGACAATTGTGTCGGTACGATGCGCAAGACGGGCCAACCCCTTTGGAAACAACCGAGATAAATAACAAGGATAACCGGGATCACCTAACCGATCGTGAATCCCGCCGACGACGTGCACCGGAGACGGTGTCAGCGACCGTCGTGAACTTTGCACGATAACCGCACGGCAACATAATGTGCAATAAATATCGTATAGATATCAAATCCCGCGGACGGTCTGCGTTATAATAGTATACGGCTATTGCTATGAAATGGTATTACGCAAACCGTATGGATACGCGGTTCGACCATAAATGCACCCGGTACACTATTACTGGACTCCGGGTTCGTATCCATGAATATTGCATGCTTGTGATGAGCGTATGGAGTTCGATAGGAGTGAAAAACGTGGACGATTCGTGTAACAGATAACTGCGCAGGAAAAAAATTTATCTTGCATATAAATGCACATTTTAGGGATGACGACGTATTTGAATGATTCGGCATGTTTAAGCATATTAAGAAACTATATTATTATTTATCAAATGTACATGGTGACAAAGCTGCTATTACAAAATCTAAAATTCTTAATTGTATCGCAAAAATAAAGGAATTCAAGTGTTAAAACAAATCGGATTAATTACATCAGAAAAAACAATGAATCATGGCTTCCGGAAAACTTCACTGTTTGCTCTGTGGCTAGTATCAGTAAATAATCGTTAAGTATTTATAAACATATAGTAAGTGATAAAACAAATATGAACATGTAGAAAAATAAATAATTATCTATTATTTTTATAAAAAGTAAATATCATATAATGTTTTTATTAATAACTAAATTATATTTTTTAATAGTTTATTTTTATTAAATTACAATATTTATACTTCATAAATATTAACTAAATAAATGGTATAAAAAGATTCAATACATTTTTATTTTTTTATTGTTATTCCTTACTAAAGTATTTGTTTTATTTGTTGAATACATGTGTAAATATTTGCTTTAAATTAATGTTATAAATTTATATCTGTACTTGAGATACTATGTTTATCTAATTGAGTCGCATTAATATTTATGGAAGCAAAATGAATAAAATATATTTTAATGCATTTGTGTTGGGTAAGAGCATATTTTTGCATATTATTAAAAACAAATAAAAACATATCGAGCGGCGTATTTAAAGATTTTTAACGCATAAATGCATACGGTTTTAAGATTTTTAAGTGCACTAAAATTCGGGCCCTAATTACTGCGATGTGTCTGCACGACAATATTATACGCTCGCCTTACGGCGCTCCGTCGAACCTACCTACTGTTTTTTGTCAGATGAATTACCGTTTCGCCGGTGTCGCCGCGGAAGGGCGATTAATACAACTAATATAACTGCAACTTGCAACTAATATAACTAATAACTAATACGTTTCATCGGTAAAATTTACGTACGCGAGTTGACTGTTTATTGCAAGCACGTCGTCGAAACCGATATTCCGTCTCCGACATCGCGGTCTCGTCGCGTGAACAACGGTGTTGTCACGATTACCGTGTACAATATACAGAGGAAGGGCGTGGAATACCTGACGCGTTGGTAGCTCGTCAAGTAAACTGTTCACGGCCGATAGTGATCGTACGACAATTGGATATAAAACATAGTGAACGGTTTCGTTACCCGTGAAATCCGTTTGACGAACGTACAAGACGAAAAACGATTAACACGGGGCTGCACACGTGAAACCCAGTGTTCGTGCAGAGGAGAACGCGCGAATCCACCTCCGACGGGATACAACAACAATACAGGGACATCGCGGTCGGTACACACCCCGCCGGGTATTTCGACCGTTCGTTCGGGGGTGGTATTGTTTTTGTGAAAAAGTTGGTCTCGCAGCACTCGAACCCGTACGTGCGTATACCGTTTATTTTTCGCGGGCTACCGCGCGCACCGATATCCGCCGCAGCTATTGTACGCGAAAAATCCGCCGATCCTCTTAATCCTCGGCCGCGAGCGAACACCGCGTGCCGTTTTACACGTTCGTCCGCGTCGGGTTTTCGCCGCATTCGCGCGCGCAGCGAAAACAAAAAAAATAATCGAAAGGGTTACTACCGCCGACACACACCGTCGTCCGCACGTCGCGCGTGACGATCGTGTCTTACATAAACGCGGTGGCGGTTATTCGTTATCGGTCTATGATCGACGCAGTACTACTATTAGTCGTACGACGCGTTGTACGGTATATTATAATCGTTATTGTATGTAATGCACAGTTTTTCCCATCCCGTCGGGATGACGATTGGATGATCGGAGCGCTAACCGTGCAATGATGAAAATCTCGTGCGACAAACGAGACCATTGAAATACGTATCGATTACGCCGTTGTTTTTCGTATCGGCATTCGGAATCTGCTGATAATATTGCACACGCCTCGTATTGCACCGATATTATTATTCCCCGGTGTATCTCTAATACGACCGTGGGTACGCGAAACAATAATTATTTCATTGGAAAATCGTCTTTTTAGCGAACCCAAGTTAAAACGTTCGAATCGTGACAGACTCCCAATTTTCCCACGAACGCACACCCTTCTAATAGATATTGATTTTTTAAGTATTTATCGGTTTTTTAATGCTTCCAAACTATTATTTCTGCACACCTGGTGTTTGTAATTAATTTCCTAAAAACTACACATGTCTCTAATAAACGCGGTCTATTGTATTTAAATGCGACTTGAGGTTAAAGCCAATTAATAGATATATCTACTTCTACCAATGCACAAATAGTTTCACATCTATACAGGTATTGCAGCCTATAATAACAATAGTTAAACACGTACAAATTATTGAATCTGGTTTTTCTATAGACTCTTTTTTTACGCAAATTATAAAACAATTAGAACTATGACTTTTTTCTGAAACATTTCGAAATTAATTTATTGTCTTGTGTGTTTGCTGTGGCCGGTATTGATTAAATCATTTATTTTTCTTAAGGCAAAAATTAAATTAATAATAAAAAAAAAAACTTATCGATTTCGATTAATCATCGTATTTCGTTCGAAAAAATATAACCAATGAACTCTAGAAACGCATTGGAAACAATTGAACAAATAAAGGTTACATATTTATACCTATGTTAAATAGTTCATAGAATTACGTTAGTCAAAACAAATATGCAGCGTATTCGAGTGGAATATTTTACACGAACGAAAACACGCTTGATCCGGTATCCACTGCACAGTTGAGTGTCGTATGAAATATTGTCGACAGTATAAATTGTCGATATAAAATTTTTTAAAGAAACTATTTCGTTCTAAAAATGATAAAAGGTCGTTTAATTGTTTTCCGCGTCCGAGACGGCACATTGAACCGGTATTCGAATAGCTTTCGAATCGGTCATTGAGATTGGGACCATATGTACTTTGCAGTCCTTAAATTTTTTTTTATTTTTATCTCATGCGTACGGGACACCACCGACAATGTAGAATTGTATTGAATGCACTTCGTATGATATGTTCAAATGTGTATGTCGTACTTTGGAGAAATAAATTCATTTTTCCCCGCACATTTAAACAATAATAATTTTAGTGATGTACGTGTTTAGTATGCCGTGCAACGATTCGACCGGGGAATATCTTTGTGCCGGCGAACGGCGTCCGGATTCGAAGGAAACTTTAGGAAGGAAGCTATATCATTTTTTTCAATTACAAAACACTCGTCGGTACTTTGACCGTCATAAATCACGCGGTATAAGTAATTGGAATTTCTAAAATGATTAACGAGTGCGCTTTATCGATTATGTACGGCCGACTCGATATCAAATGCGAGATTTCCCAAAGTTTATCTATTAAATTTGTTTGGCTTTCGATTTATGACTGCAGTCTTATATTTCTCATAGCCACGCGCTGACTGCAATAACAATTATTAATACTGAAACGAGTTTTCTTCGCAATAACTGATACACTAATATAAATGTACTAATAAATATATGGAACGATGGCGAATTGTTGCACGAAAAGTCCCGGATTTAAATGTTCCCCAATTAGATTGTCAAAAATTAAAATGTATTATCGGATTACAGCAGCCGTTATCGTACTATTAATATTATGATAGGATTAAAAACGGATACGTGTCAAAAATTATTGGTCGCGAAAAAAAACACTTAATCGATGAATCATTCTTACCTTGTGCGGATTGTTGCGAAATCTCTTCTCCGGATAAAGGATATTTTAACGTGTAGGTACTAATGAAGCGAAAATCAATTATTACAGTTAAAATAAACTTTACGGTCGATTGCGAATCAAAAAATGTTTGAATAGACGAAAGAAAATAAATACACACGAACACTGGTAAAATATATTTTTAAGCGGTTAAAAAATGTTTTTATTTAAACGGTCGAAAAAAAAAAAAAAAAAAAAATTACAGTAATCGTTTGAACAAATCGTTAAAAAAAAACACAGATTATAATAATAATAATAAAATAAAATATTTATAAAACGTCTTCGCGCAATTGGTGAAAAATAAAAAAAATAAAAAACAATTTGATCGGAAAAAAACAAAAAAATCGTCTACGAAACGCGTTCGATCAGTCGTTTTCTTTTCTCCCGATCCCGGGTACACGGACCACTAATATAGTATTGTACTATTATTGTGATGATACAAAAAAAAAAAAAAACGTTGCTACGTTCGCGGGTTTCGAGTGTCGGTATAAGTGCTGTTACGACGCGAAACGGCGAACGAAAGAAAGCGAAAAACAAAAAAAAACAAAAAAAACCCGAAAAAAATTACTTTTTTTTTATCTGGGCCCGCCGAATAAAAAACGATTGATCGGCCAACAACGATCGTCGTAGATCGTCACCGGGATAACCGCACGTGCGTCGTCGCGGAATCGGACTGACGGGTAACTATAACGTGTCGTCGTCGTTATATCCGGTCCGGCGTTGTGGCGCGCACTGCTGTACACGACGCACTACGGTACGCGCGCCCGGCCCGGCCGCAGTGGGTCGTGCCGGCGGCGGCGGCGCGCGCCCGATCGCACGTGCAATCGGCGCGACGGTCGCGCGCGTGCGCGTCACCCGGCCGCCGGTTTCGCGCTTTCCCCGCGGTTTTTTCCCCCCCTCCCGCCGCGCGACCGCCGTCAG